CAGGGACCCCAAGCACCCTGATCAATTTCCCTACATTGATCATTGGCTGTCCGATTCTGAATCCTCCACCCTGGCTTAAAACCCGTGTTCTCTTGTTAAGTGCCCGTGTTATTTTGGTTTGATCTGACACTGGTGGAAAAGCAAGAGTGCCACTGATCCTCTCAGCCCTGTGGACGAGAGTGGCATCCCTCCCTCCACCCTACGTACCTGACCAATACCTGCTGAAACAGACCGCCAAAAGGGCCTCAGACGGAGACCCAGTCTCCTCCCCCTCAGGTCCTCTCCCCTTCCCATATGCAAAGCAGCTCCACTTATGGGGAGGTGAGGCAAGTCTGAGATGAGGCTGAGATGGCACCTATCCTTCCCCTAAGGGAAGTCCACCCATGGAACCAGGGCCACAGGAAGGGAAGCTTGGCTCCCACCAACAGAGGCCACGCCCGTTTATGGTCTGTGTCCCCTTTTTCCACCAGTGACCTTTATAATTAGAAAACTCAAAATTCTCCTTTCTCTGAAAAACCCAAGGCACTCATTAGTCAGCTTGAGACTCTTTTTGTTTGTTTGTTTGTTTGTTTTTTCAATACTCACCAGACCACCTGGGATGATTGCCAGCTACCTTTTTTTTTTTTTTTTTTTTTTGTTTTTTTGAGGACGGTGCCTCTCTCGGGGCCCCCAGCGGTCCTGGAACTCATTATGTAGACCAGGCTGGCCTTAACCCCACAGAGCTCCCCCTGCCTCTGCCTCCCAAGTGCTGGGATTAAAGGCGTGCGCTACCACGCCCAGCCTGATTGTCAGCTACTTTTGGTCACTCTCTTCATGCCAGAAGAGCAAGACCTGATCACATTAGAGAGCAGAAAGATTGCTCTCAGGCCTGGATCAGCATCTCTCCCCAACAGTGATGCCTGCATAGAGTGTATCTTCCCCTCTGAGAGACCTGACTGGGGCCCCAGTGCTGACAGAGGTAAGGAGGATCTGATCAACTTTCCCCAAGTTCTTTTGGGAGGAATAAAGGCAGCTGTCAGGAAACCCACAAACCTTTCTAAGGTAAACAAGGTGATTCAGGAACCTCAATAATCACCCGCTGGATTCCTAGAGTGCCTCCAGGAGGCTTACCAAGTATTCACCCCAATAGACCCGGACACCCCAGAAAACCAGCGGTCCAAAAATACTGCCCTTGTCACACAGTCAGCCCCAGACATTAGAAAGAAATTACAGAAACTAGAAGGGTTTGAGGGCACGAATAATCAGTTATTAGAAATTGCTCAAAAGGTCTACAATAATTACGATTCTATGGAAGATAAACAGAATAAGAAACTGACTAGGGCAATGAGAGCAGCGCTCAGAGAAGCAGGGGAGGAGACCAGAGACGAGAGAGAAAGAGGTTGGAAAAGGATCAATGTTCTTATTGCAAGGAAAAGGGACATTGGAAAAACAAATGTCCACAGAGGAAGAAAAAAGAGGGGTGCCCCATCCTCCAACTTGGGGAAGATTAATGGGGCTGGGACTCCATTTCATTCAGCCCCCAGAAGCCCATGGTGAAGATGAAGGTTGGGGACAAACCTAGTAAGTTCCTTGTAGATTCATGGGCATCCTATTCAGTATTGACAAAAGCTCTAGGACACACAATGTCCCAGCAAATGACAGTCCAGGGTGTTACCAGCCAGACTGCCTCTTACCATTGGACAACCTCCTGGACAGCAGACTTGGGACAAGGTACTGTGACCCACTGCTTGTTATGCCAAACTCTCCATTAATGGGCAGAGACCTCCTCCAGAAGCTGGGGGCTACCATCTCCTTTGGAGAAGTGGAGGCTCAGCTTACCTTGAGCCCAGGTCAGACCCCAACTAACATCCTAGCGACTTGCCCCTTGTCCAAGGACTACCATCTGCAACTGGACCAACTTTTAGTAGAGATGGCTAGTCTTCAGGATGCCTACAGAACTTACAGCAATTTTTCCCTCATGTATGGGCTGAAAGTAACCCCCAGGTCTGATTGTTGACTGATCCCCAATTGTCATCCAGTTGTTGAGCACTGCAACCCCTGTGAGAATCAGACAACACCCTGAGTCAAGAGGCAAAACAAGGAATTGCCAAGCGCATAAACAGATAAGTGAAGCAGGAATTCTTGTCCCCTGCCATTCTCCCTGGAACATCCCACTGCTCCCAGTACTGAAGCCTGAGACCCAAGACTACTGACCCGTACAGGATCTCAGGAAGGTTAACAAGTGGGTAGAGACCATCCACCCTACAGTTCTGAACCCCTATACTCTTCTAAGTCTCCTACCTCCAGAGAAAACAGGTCTATACAGTCCTAGACTTGAAGGTTGCCTTCTTTTCCCTACCCCTGGCACCCATCAGTCAGCCCATCTTTATGTTTGAGTGGACTGATCCAGAGGACACACAGGCCAATTGACTTGGACTAGGTTACCCCAAGGGTTTATTGCAAGGAAAAGGGACATTGGAAAAACGAGTGTCCACAGTGGAAGAAAAAAGAGAGGTGCCCCATTCTCCAACTCGGGGAAGACTGATGGAGCCAACTGTTTGGTGAGAATTCCAACTGCCTGGAATTCTCAGAGGCATCTGGAGAGTACTTTGCTCCAATATGTGGATGACCTTCTCATTACCTCAGAGACAGAGGAGGGATGCAAGAGGGTCACCAAAGGACTCTTGGGGACTCCTGAAACCCTGGGGTATCAGGAGAAAGCCAAGAAGGCTCAGCTCTTTGTGCCCTGCGTCATCTATCTGGAGTATAATCTGCAAGTGGGGAAATGTACTCTGTCCCAGGCCCTATCTCCTGGTAGCCCTAGGGAGACAACTGGTGACCCACCTCCACCAGGCGGACAAATCAGGGGGTCACAAAGATTACTGAACTCCTCAGGCCAAGGTATTACATTCTCCAAATAGACTATGTCACCAAAGACATTGTTTCCAGGTGTCACGCCTGTACCCAGATGAACCCTAAAGGGGGAAAGAAAGCCCCAAAGGAAATACACACCCATGGCACCACCCATGGGGAACACTGGGAATTGGACTTTACAAAGATTAAACCAACTGTCTTCAGATTCAAGCATCTCTTGGTGTTTGTGGACACATTCTCTAGGTAAGTGGAAGCTTTTCCCACCAGAACCGAGATAGCATCTATAGTGATCACAAAACTGCCCCAGAAATTAGTTCCTAGGTTTGACCTTCCCCTCACCCTGGGGTCCCACAATAGCTGGCCTTCATGGCCAAGATTTCCCAAAATTTGATAAAGGCATTAAATACTAATTATAAATTACATTGTGCCTATAGTCCACAGAGTTCAGGACAGATAGAAAGAAGGAACAGGACCTTAAAAGAGATCCTGACCAAATTGGTTATAGAAATAGGTGAGAGTTGGGCCAACCTTCTTCCCTTTGCCCTCCTCAGGGCCAGATGTATCCTCTAGTGGGGAAGAATTCACCCCTTACGAAATTATGTTCAGGAGACCACCACCTATTCTCCCCAAGTTAAGAGATACATATAAAACAGAAATCACTTTCAGTAGCCGGGCATGGTGGCACATGCCTGTAGTCCCAGGACTGGGGAGGCAGAGGCAGGCAGATCTCTGTGAGTTCAAGGCCAGCCTGGTCTACATAGTAAGTTCCAGGATAGCTGGGGCTACAGGGAGACCCTGTCTCAAAAAAAAACCAAAAAACAAAAACAGAAATCACTAATCACTCCCTTCTCGAGTCATTACAAGCTCTGCAACAGACCCAGAGGACCATCCACCAGAAAGTCTGAGAAACTGCTCCCCAGCCAACCTCAGAACTGGCCCACGAGTTCCAACCCAGTGACTTGATATGTCAGGAGGATCCCAGCCCAAACCTTGGAGCCAACCTGGAAGGGCCCATATCCTGTAATCCTCACCACACCAAAAGAAGAGAAAATGGCTAGAGTCGCCTCTTGGATCCACTGTACCCAGTTAAAGAAGGCTAAAGAAGATGGGAAACAGACTGTCACTTGGACCTCTGACCCTCTGTGCTGGATAGCTTTAGTGTCAACTTGACACACCTGGGTTGAGGGAGCCTCAACTGGGGAATTGCCTTCATTGGACTGGCCTGTGGCCATGTCCATGGGGTATCTTCTTGATTGTGTGAGTGATGTGGGAGGGCCCAGCCCACTGTGGGTGGTGCCACCCCTGGGCAGGTGGGCCTGTGCTGCATAAGCAGGCTGAGCAGGGGCCAGGGGGAGCAAGCCAGTAAGCAGCATTTCTCCATGGCCTGTGCTCCAGCTCCTGCCTCCAGGTTCCTGCCCCCAAGTTCCTACCTTGGGCTCCGGGATGAACTGTGACCCAGGATATGTAAGCTAAATAAACCCTTTCCTCCCCAAGCTGGTAGTGGTCAGAGTATTTTGTCACAGCAATGAAGAACAAACTAAGACACCCTCTAAAGGTAAGACTGGCACAAACTCCCTGATTGCTATAGCTATGCTTTGCTCTGTTTTTCTCCCCAAGGGAAATGTGTATAATCCCCATCGTCCCCAGGGAATGGCAACTCAGGAGGACCGGGGATGGAAAAATCCTTGTGACCATGACCACTGACAGCCAACACACCTTCCAGATAGGCTTTTGTGCCCTTATGACCTTAATCTTATGGTACCACAATGGCAGGCAAGGGAGGTAGACAGGTGGGCTGTGGAAACCTAGAATGTGAAAAAGGAATTCAGACCCTCCAGTTCTATGCCTGTCCTGCTAATGGAGACTCCTCCTGTCCACTACCACTGTGTGGCCTGGGGACATGAGACAGAATTTTCACGGGGACATATAGATTCCCCCTACATATACATAAATAGGCAAGAAATGCCCCAGACTTGTTCCCCGGGCACTTGTAATCCCAACCATCAAGATCATAGCCTGGAATACTGTAGGTCACCATCACTGGGTAACAGGGAGAACCTGGGGAATAAATTGGCTTTATGCCACTGGGAGGGATCCTGAGGATGAATTCACCATACAAAAGAGACATCCACCTTGGGACCAACTCATTGGTTCAAACCAAAATCTTTATCTACCAGTACCTCAAAAGCCTACAGTCCACCACCTCCCTACAACCTCAGAGGCACCCATTACATGAGGAGGGGCAACTCCAGTCACCCCAATCCAAAACCCTAAAGTTAGGCCCTCCTTGCTAAGAATGTTAGCAAAAGTCTATCAGCTCCTGAATCATTCGGAGCCAGGCTTAGGTCAACCATTGGTTATGCTTGGATCCCCAAACCCCCTATTATGTAGGAATTGGGCTAAACCAGACCCTCACGCTGAGATCTTCCTGCTTCTGCTGGGATCAAAGGTGTGTGCCACCACACCTGGGCCAAAGAATATCTTTAAAAAAAATAATAAGCTGAACCAGGTATAAAATGGATGACCCAGAGAGCATTTTGATTGGGACAACTGGGAAAAAAAGAATCCTGTCATATTCCATTTCACATATTGAAGTTAGTGCACAAAAGTGCTGAAAAGCACAAGGCAGTTCTCAGAAACATTATTATCCACCAGAAAGTCAGTCATCTCTGACACTCAGAAGGCTCCTTACAAAGAAGTCCATATACTCAGGTACTAGAATCTCAGGCTCTCCCTACATAATTGGAAAGGTGCAAATAAATCTCTCTTTTGAGGTATCAGGGCCATCCACTCAACTCTATCAGTCACCTCAGTACTGTGGAAATGTCCCATCGATTTTGGCGGCCCAGGCCATGAGGCCGCCCACAACATCCTGAACGGTTAAGAAGTCTAATTCTTGAGCTGCTGTTAAGGACTGCAGGATCCTCACGGCCCTCTGGGAGTCATTTCCCAGTTTGCAAATGACGTACAGGGGGACGGGGGCCCCTTCCTTCCTTTCCCGCTTCTCTTTTTGGATGGCTTCTGCTAAGAGCTTCAGGCTTTCTCCATTCCTCCTCTCCAGCAGATTTAAAGGGATATGCAGGGCATGAGGCAAACGACAGATGTCCACCTCCACTTGGGGCCTGACGTCCAGCAACAAGTGGGGAGACCCAGAATCCAGAAGCCGTTTATAGTCGGTCACAGACACCCGCTCGTCGGGGCTCAGGAGCTTCAAGGAGCGGCACTTATCGGTGGCCGAGGAGCCGCAGAAGGCTTCATAGTCCTGCAGGCCGGTCACCGACGGCTGCTGGCCGCACACTGCACAGTCAGGCCGGCGTCGCCGCAGCCGGATGCTCCGGAAGTGTCCTCGGAGGCCGTCGAACAGCAGCAGGCTGCCGCTGTAGGAGGGGCCCAGGCCGGCGGCGATCTTCAGCACTTCCAGCGCCTGCAGGCAGCCCAGCACCCCGGGGACCACGCCGAGCACCCCGCCGTCCGCACAGTTCGTCACTGTCTCGGCCGGCGGCGGCTCTGGGAACACGCACCGGTAACACGGGCCGTCAGCGCAGTTGTAAACTGTGAGCTGGCCCTCGAAGCGCAGCGCGCTGGCGGACACCAGCGGCCGGCCGGCCAGCACGCAGGCGTCGTTCACTAGGTAGCGGGTGGGCACGTTGTCCGAGCAGTCGGCCACCACGTCGTAGCCGCGGACCAGCTCCAGCGCCGACACCGGACTGAGCGCCTGCGCGTATGGCACGTACTGCACCGCCGAGTTGAGGCGGCGCAGCGCGGCGGCGGCCGAGAAGGCCTTGGCGCAGCCCGCCAGCGCCTCGCCGTGCAGCACCTGCCGGGCCAGGTTGCTCGTCTCCACCACGTCGTGATCCACCAGGCCCAGGCGGCCCACGCCGGCCGCCGCCAGATACTGCGCCAGCGGGCAACCCAGTCCGCCGCAGCCCACCACCAGCACCGAGGCGGCGGCCAGGCGCAGCTGTCCGCGCATGCCCAGCTCGGGCAGCAGTAGCTGCCGGCTGTAGCGCAGGATCTCGTCCCGCGACAGGGCGGCCCTGGGCGGCAGCGGACACACCGGGGCCGGTCGCGCGGACTCTGGCTGTGGCTCTGCTGCGAGAGCCGCCGTCAGCCTCCGCTTCAGGGACGCCAGCTCTTCCTCACGCCAGGCAACCTCAGCCTGCAAGGCCTGTATGTCCTCTTGGGCTGCCATGGAGAACCGCTTCCGGAAGTGGCGGGGAGGGACTTCCGCTTCCGGCTGCCTGTGTCCTAACGCTTGGACTAAAGACCTTCATAGCGCTTATGGAAATGAAAGGAACAGGCATTTCCCGAGGACACCTTCAGAGGCAACTTAAAACCTTCACCCTTTCTGAATGTTTTCCGTTGAATCACACAGAGGCCCTCGCGCCGCTAACCCCTCTCCATTTTGGGGGACTTGGTACGGTCCGCGTGGAGTGCCGTGATTCCGGTTCCGGCGCCCCGTGCAGTTCCGTCATGGCCTCCGCCGGGGCGAGTCATAACACTGCGGCGTCGCGGCGACAGCTGCAGGGCCGCTCGTCGCGACAGGACAAGTACTCGGTGCTTCTGCCCACCTACAACGAGCGCGAGAACCTGCCGCTCATCGTGTGGCTGCTGGTGAAGAGCTTCTCCGACAGGTAGCGGCGCGAGCCCCGGCCGGCTCTCACCCGGGTCCCGCGGGGCCCCGCGAGCCGCCCACTACGAGTCGGTGGTTGGCAGCGCGGGGCTGTGCCCCGGAGGAGGACGGCCAGGGCCGATGGCCTGCTGCGGCGTCTGGGGTGGCACTCCTGCTCTGGGGCTTAGCAAGACGCTCTTTGCCTTGATTCCAAATCGGTCTAATATTCCCTCCCCACCCCCGCCTTTCTCTTTAAAAGAGCTGACCCCCCACCTTATTTAAGTGCGGGGCTCAAAGCCGGTCCTCACCTCTCCAGGCGGTCACGATCTGCCGCCAGAGCCAGAGTCTGAGCCAGCGCGCTCACCACCGGCCCGGGCCCGAGTGCTTACGTAAGCTGGATGTTTGCGCTGTCGGGGAGCTGCGGCTAGGCACGAATTGGGGGGGCGGGGCGCTTCTTCGCTGAGTGCTGTCGGGTCTTGCGGCTGTAAACGGGAATTTATATATATTTATTTGTTTATTTATTTATTTTCTGTGTTTTGGAGAAAACCAGGGCCTTACCCACTAAGACAAGAAGCATTTGTAGTCCCTAGGAATGGGACTTTTGGTTTTTTTAAAGATATATTTTATTATTTTTATTTTATATATATGCGTGTATTGCTTGCGTGTAAGTGCACCCGAGTCGACATCGGGTGTCTTCTATCCCCCTCATTTAATTATACTATTAATTAATTAATTGATTAATTAATTTCGAGGCAGTCTCACTATGCAGCCCTGGTTAGCTTGAACTCCCTATGTAGACCAGGCTGGCCTCTAACTCATATAGAGTGCTGGAATTCAAGGCATATACCACTGTGCCTGGCAGAAAGAATGGAGTTAAATTAGAGTCATTCCTAGTGCCATTTAAAGTGCTTTTAGAAATAATTGGGGTTTTTTGAGATAGTACCTCTTGTAGCCTAGGCTAGCTGTAGACTCATTATGTAGCTGAGGATGCCCTTGAGCTCTTTGATCCTCTGGCTTCCACCTCCCAAGTGCTGGCATTAAAAACAAATTCTGTAAGTGCTGGAGAAATGGCTCACCAGTTAAGACACTTGCTGCTCTTACAGAGGACCAGAGTTCAGTTCCCACTCTGGGCAGCTCACAACTGCCTATAACTCCAGCTCCAGGGGATTCAACAGCCTCTGCAGGCACTATGCTGACATGTACAGATAAAAATACATATACATACACATAAAAATACACATAATAAATCTTGAGAAAAAATTTTGTAGCTAACATTCAGTGTTAATATTTTGCAATTTCACGTCCAAATAGGTAAATAAAATTCCCTGGGCCATCATATATGTACTGTACATGTGTATGACTTTATTTTCATCTGGAAAGTATGTTTTCTGTGTCAGAATTCCTTAATATCTCTGGACTTCAATAGCATTTTTCAATACATACCAGGATTGGAAGGGGGTGCTGCATGGTTAACATTTGTTTTCATTTGATACTGAAATCTGCTTTAGTGACTAACAGGGCAATGAATCTCTACCTCTGCTGGTGAGGAATTAATAACTTAAAAACACTATCATGAGGAGTTGAGACAGGGTCTCATGTAGCCCAGGCTGGCCTTGAACTTCTGATCCTCCTGCCTCCACTTCCCAATGGCTGGCACTACAGGCCTACACCCCAATACCCAGCTTTTAACTTTTAAGATATTTTAAAATGGTGCTGTCTCCCAACATTGATGTAAATCTAAACTTTATTTTAGTGCAATCAGCTATGAGATTATAATCATAGATGATGGAAGCCCAGATGGAACACGGGAAGTTGCTGAGCAGCTGGAAAAGATCTATGGATCAGACAGAATTGTAAGTTGCAGGAACATTTTGTGTGTGTATTTGTGTATGTATCTCGGGGAGTGTGCTACAAGAAATGCCTGAATAACTGGAAAAGAAGAGGCAGCTTATGCCCTTGGAATGGAGATGCTTTCTCACTGTGCTTAAAATTTTATGTATCTTTGCTTTGTTGGGCCAGTGGTGATTTTAGAACAAAAGGCTGGGTGTTTGGTTGACCTCTGGTTTTATGACTGATTCTACAGATAAGTTTTCTTAAATGGCAAAGCTAAAATGTACACAGAATTGGCAAGGGATAAAACAGAATTGGCTGGAAATTTTTTGTGTTTCTTTCTGGCTCCCTTTCTCTAGGTGCTCAGGTATTTTGTGTCGAGAGTACTTACTGTCGGCAGCATTGAGCTTTTTAGGTGGGAAAGGTGACTGTTTCAAGAGGAACAAGAGTGACTTCAGAGCTCTTGACATTTCAATTTCTCGGTGTAGAACAGTCTTGTGGGAGGAGAATGACATCCCAAGTCCTAAACTTTAGATTTGCCCACTATACCACGAAGCCTGTTCTGTAGGGCAAATTCAGAATTGATTTTATAATGACTTTCTGCATTTTTTTGAAGCAAAATTGGAGCTTATTAAAAATTTAATACAAATTTAAAGCACGGGGTTAGCCAGGCGTGGTAGCGCTCGCCTTTAATCTCAGCAGAGGCAGGCGGATCTCTGAGAGTTCTAGGCCAGCTTAGTCTACATAGTGAGTTTCAGGCCAGCTGGGGCTACAGGGAGACCCTGTCTCAAAAAAACAAACAAACCAAAAAAACCACCAAAAAGACAGGCTTAAGAGAAAGAGTCAGGACTGCAGAGAGGACTCTAGAGCACTTGCTGCTGTGTCAGAGGACTGTTCCAGAATAAGTCTATAAGTTTTTTAAGAAGGAAAGAGGAGTGTTTGGACACAAAGTGAGGCAACCTGAGAGCATCGCTGTGGGCTGCTCCAGGAATCACCATGAATTTTTTTGATTACTAGTTTGAATTTATAGATGCTTCATGGTATTTGTGAAATCTGCTTTGAGTAATTTGGGGGGGGGGTGCAAAAGCATACAGTGGAACACAGATTTAACTGCAAAACTTACATGGCATTAGCTCGTGGTCATCTGTGTTTGTACTTTTTATTCCAGAGTTCCTGGTCTTGGTACTGTTGGCATTTGGCTTGGGTGACTCACTGTTGGAGCTGTCTTGTTCAATGTAGATGTTAGGGGGCTGCTCTGGCCTCTACCCACAAGATGCCAGTAACAACCTTCCTCCCTTCTTGGCAACCAGGAATGTATCTGATAATTGCCGAATGTCCCCCTGGGGATATTTTCCCATCCCCCAGCACTGTTAGAGAGCCTCTTGAACAACCTCTTGATATTTGCCTTTCAAGAAATGGTAGTTAATCATCATAATAAAACAATCAACCACGTACTGCCATTCTTGATTACTGGCGTCACCTCAGTAATGAGGATAATATTTTTTCCCTTGTGGCACTGGGAAATGAACCTTGGACGTAGTAGGTAGGTGTTCTGCTACTGACCTATATCCCTATCCCTCCTTTTACTTTTTATTTTGACACAGGTCTTACTATGAAATTATCCAAGTGAGTGGTCTTGAACTCACTTTATAGCCTAGGTAGGCCTTGCAGATCTTCCTGCATCAGCCTCCCAACCAGCTCAGGATTATAGGCCTGCACCATTAGGCTCAGCTTAGACATATTTTCCACAAGTGCTGTTTACTAGAGATTCAAGTCTGTTGCAGCAGAATTTGGTTGGTGGGTGTCCTAGTTTGTTTCTTCATTGCTGTGACAAAATACTCTGACCAATACCAACTTGGGGAGGAAAGGGTTTATTTAACTTACATCTCCCAGGTCACAGTTCATCAGGGAGCCCAAGGTAGGAACTCAGGGCAGGCACCAGGAGGCAGGAGCTGGAGAAGAGGACATGGAGGAACACTGCTTTCTGACTTGCCCCCCTGGCTCCTGCTCAGCCTGTTTTTTTATGCAACACAGGCCCACCTGCCAAGGGGTGGCACCACCCACAGTGGGCTGGGCCCTCCCACATCACTCAACAATCAAGAAGGTACCCCATGGACATGGCCACAGGCCAGTCCAATGAAGGCAATTCCCCAGTTGAGGCTCCCTCAACCCAGGTGTGTCAAGTTGACACTAAAGCTATCCAGCACAGTGGGGAAAGGGTTAAGGGACGTTGTTGCTCTTTACACATGGTAAATCCTGTACTCTGGAGTCTTGGCTTCTCTTAACACCTGTCACACCTCAGGTCCTCTCTGGATCTCTCATGTATAGAATTCAGGAAGGAGGTAGAAAGCGAACGCATTTCAACCTGCTAAGACAGACTTGAATGCTGCATTCATATTTTTGCCCTGTAGCTCCTTAAGTTTTCTTTAGAACCCCTAGCTAGCCAAGGCTACTGCCTCACATTTACTGTGTAATAGACTATATCAAATTGTATGTTACTGTTTAGAACATCAATATGCCAACATTTTAGATAGTTTTATCATTACAATCCTAATCTGGGGGTGTGATTGGTTGATTTTAGGAAACACCTACCAAATTGATTTTTCAAATTCTAAAACAACATTGGCCTTAGAGTTCAATTTTTCCTAGCATACCCATAAAACTAAAAATAAGAAAAAAAGAAATGGGGCTTTGGAGATTGCTTAGGAGCAGTGTGTCTTGCAAAAATGTTGTAAAAATAATAAGGAAAAAAAAAAATCTCTTTTCCTATCATTTCTCTGTAGATCCAGACAAATTTTTCTTCTATTGCTTTTTGGAATAAGGTCTCACCCTGTAGCCCAGGCTTGGGCTCACAATGATCCTTCTACCTCAGCCTCCCAAATGCTGAGGCTACAGGTGTGAGACACTGTACTAGCTCTTGTCATTTTATGACTTCTGTTTTTAGTTTGAGGACAAATTTTTTTATGTTTAAAAGAAAATCCCCAGGGCAGGCAAGCTGTAAATCTCAGCTGCCCAGAGGAAGATGGACAGGAAGAGAGAACAGCTTGCCGTGCCTTTTGTAAGCAGATGTTGGGGCGGGGGGCAGTTTCAGAGACCGATTGAGGAATTCCAGAGTGCCAGGAAAGTATGCCCAGGCTTTGCAAGTAGTACTTGAAAGAAAGGAAAAGATAGAAATAAAGGGAAAGCAAGTTAGACTTTTCTGAGTCATTAAGAAGAGCAGGCACACCTTAGCAGAACTACAGGGCCATGTTCGTAAGGGACTGCAGACTTTCTGACTTTTAAATCGCTTAGACACGAGCAAGGGACAGGCATGTACCTGAACTACCAACTACTGTGGAGGCCAAGTCAAAACATCACCTGAGCCCAAGAACTGAAGAGCAGCCAGCAACACACTGAGAATTTGTCTCAAAGAAATCAGAGGACTGGAGAAGTGGCTCAGGAGTTAAGAGCACTGACTGGCTGCTCTTGCAGAGGACCTGGGTTTGATTCCCAGCACCCACATGGCTGCCATCTTCTGACTTCCACATGAATGTGATGCTCTTATATTTATGTAGGCAAAACACTCATGCACATAAAATAAACATTTTTAAAATCAGATCACACCAGCAATAGGCCTTACTTCTTCTTTAAAATCATTAGTTTCCTTCATAGGATTTAAAAAAAATTTTTTTTATTATTTATGCCAGGTGTGGTGGTGCACGCCTTTAATCCCAGCACTTGGGAGGCAGAGGCAGGCGGATCTATGTGAGTTCAAGGCCAGCCTAGTCTACATAGCGAGTTCCAGGAGAGGTGGGGTTACGGGAAGCCCCTGTCTCAACCCCCCCCCCCCAAAAAAAAAATATATATATATATATTTTTTTTTATCTTATGTGTATGAGTTTATTGCCATCATGTAAGTGTACCTGTGTCATGCATGCAATGCCCATGGAGATCAAAAGAGAGTATCAAATTCCTCTGGAACTGGAGTTACAGACAGTTGGTAGCTGCCATGTAGGTACTAGGAATCGAACTCGGGTCCTCTGCAAGAACAACCAGAACTCTTAACCACTGAGCCATCTCTTCAGCTCCTCATAATATATTTCAATTGCTATGTTTTGCCTGCATTTATATAAGTGTACCACATGTCATGCAGTGCCTGCAGAGGCTAGAAGATGCACTGAATCCCCTGGAACTGAAGTTACAGACAGTTGTGGGTTCTGGAGATGGAACCTAGGTCCTTTACAAGAGTAGCCCATAGCCACTGCGCCATCTCTGCCACCCTCCCTCCCGTTACTTGCTTTTAAGTTTCATGGACATGTTTAGCTTGGACAAAGGTGGAGAAAACGACTAATTAAGCCATCTTGAAATACCTCTGATGAATACTCAGTATAGATTTCCTTGTCATTTAGTTTTGAATTGGTTGAAATCAATGTTTGAGGGAAAAAAGCCCAAAAAAACACATAAATTTACACATAAATGTAAAAAAATAAATCTTAAAAAAATATTCTAGGGCTAGAGAGATGGCTCAACAGTTTAGAGCATTAGCTACTCTTGTAGAGGACTCAGGTTTGGTTGGTTCCGTGCACCAACATGGTGGCTAATAGCTGTCTATTAACTCCATCCAGTTTCAAGGGATGTGACACCCTTTTTTTTTTACTTTTCTGGGTCTTACACGCATATGGTGCACTTAACATACAATGCAGGCATTAACACTCATACACATAAAATAAATTGTTTTTGGATTTTGGAGACAGGGTCTCCATGTAGCCCCAACAGGCCTGGAACTCACCATGTAGATCAAATTTGCCTCAATCTCAACAGAGGTCTGCCTGCCCCCCGGAGTGCTGGGATTAAAGGCATGTGCCATCACTTACGGCTAAAAATCATATTTATTTAAAAAAACAAATAGGAGCTGGAGAGATGGTTCAGGGGTTAAGAGCACTGGCTACTCTCGCAGAAGACCCAGGTTTGAATCCCAGCACCCACATGGCAGCTGACAACCATTCATAACTCCAGTTCCAGGGGATCCAGTGCCCTCTTCTGT